AACCTGGTCCTCCACTAGACCTTGGTCCTCCCCTAGACCTAGACCCTGGTCCTCCCTGAGCTTCATCAACAGACTCTCACTCAGCAGCAGCTCGTCTGAGAGTCAACTGAGGAACCAGCTGACATCAGTCTCAGGCTGCTGTTTAAAATCCTATTTAGATGCCTTGAGAGGAAGAAGGGAGATCTATGGCGGCCCTGAAGGGTCAAAACGCTGCAGCTTAAGAACAGACAACCGAACACACAAAACACAAATTCAGAAAACGTCTTCAATCTGACAACATGAGCTGCAAATACTCACAACAAAACAACACACACAAACGCATTGCATGGATGAATTATAAAACATATTATACATGTATTATAACACATGTATAATACCACATCAATGTGCACTTAGTGTTCAATTCTTTTAATTTCAAAAGTCACAAACCATTCAACAACGGGTGTGTCCCACCTTTTTAGTGTCCTCTGGAAACACTTGTTTCCGTGGTGTTTGTGTGTTTGTTGTGTTGCAGTCTGTGCTGTTAAATTGAAGATGTTTTCTGAATCTTCTTGTGTTTTGTGTGTTTGCATGTGTTTTCTTACATTGCAGTGTGTTGATCTCAGTGTGTTGATCTGTAGTGAAGTAAAGATTTGAGGTACTTGTACTTTTTTAATAACTAGTTTGATAATACATGAAGTAATTTCTACGGATCTGTTGCTTTTCCTTTTTATGACTTTAATTAATTATATTGTTTTGTTGTTGCCTGTTGTGTCCACTAAGAACTCTGGGTAACTGATGTTTTTCTCACTGTTTCCTGAATTTGTGCAATCAGTCGATAAAATAATGAGCAGATGAATCTGTACCAATTTACAATAAATCTGCCCTTATAAAGGATTTATGAATGGTTTATTACTAGTTTATTAATCAGCTTGTTCACACTTTATAAATCACTTATAACACATTATATAAAAAGGCCAACAGTGAGCTGTTTCCTGCCAAATAGTGATCCCTCATGTCTCTGTACTGTTCGGCCTCGTCTCTTTTTCTCCATCATCAGCGTCTGTAGCTGCTGCTTCATCACGTTTGCTCAGTTACTAATTCATTATTAATTAACCCCGTCAGCACCTTGATGGTCAAAGCGTTTCATCTGGCAGATCACATGATCATGTCACATGACCAGATTCATCTTCTGAGGCCTGGGCAGTATTGATTACCTTGAGCTGCTCTCATTGTAACACAGCTGTTGATCAGATATGAACATGGAGGTGATTTCTGCTGGTTTCTCTTCTTCGGTTTTAACACTCAGGTGTGACTCAGGTGTGACCTTCCTTTACCTGGTGAACTGCTCAGTCTCTGTCCACATCTCTGTGATTCTCCCTTCATCATCTTCCTCTCAGTTTACAACCATTGATTGATCAGTTATTAACATTTATAAACACATCATCATTAATTAATGAGGTACTAAGAGACTCCAGTTACCAGCTATAAATGATAATAGCTCATTAGATTAATGAGCAGGAGGCGTTAGCTTAGAAGACTGTGTTGTAACTTGTTTATAATTGTTTATGATTTAAAAAGTGTCAACAACAATATTAATAACCTGATTATAAACCATTTATAAATCCTTTATAAGGGTAGTCTTATAGTAAAGTGGTACCAATGAATCTATAATGGAAATAATCAATAGTTTAAGTTTCTCTGAGTCCTGACTGAACAGAGTCTTCACACTGGAACCAGGACTCTCAGGATCTGAATAAGAGTCTGAGGACGTTCGGTCTAACTGTTACATGACTGAAACCTTCATCCTGATCACAAACATCGTCCCTGCAGTGTTAGTGCTGTACTTACACACACAGCTGAGCCTCAGGAGTAGAAATAAAACCATAAACAGAGCGTCCATGTTCCTCTGCTGCAGCTCTCATGTGTCCTCCAGCTTCAGATGAGCAGAGTAGAAGTGGGGAGGGGAAGTGCGTCTTTGTGGGGAGGAAAAGTCAGCAAGCAGCACTTCCTTCTATTCTATTGTTCTGGGGGTTTCATAGTGAAGGAGCTCTCAGTGCTGGTGACTGTCGGAAATACCAGAGTCCATCCCAGATGGTCAGTTGTTCTAATAAACCTGAAGGAGAAAACATCCAAGGAGGAGGAGGAGGAAGAGGAGGTGTACTGAAAACACCTACTAAGATCAGTGATATAAACTTCATCCAAACTTTATCCAAAACTAACAGAGATCAAAGTTTAAATAAAGGCTGTACAGAACCGATTCTCTGGTTGGTAACAAACAGAGGAAATATATACAATACATTTCACTGAGCTCATTCCTCCAGAACATGATCATCCCCTGCAGGCAGCTGGCCATATTTGGCTGACTATAGGTTGGTTGATGTCAGGTGACCAAAATTCTGTTTGATGTCAACAACAAGTTGATGTTATATAAGTTCTGTTGTTGAATAAAATCCATGTCTTTCAAAAGTCTCATGCAACGTCATCTTGACTGATAAAAGACCAAGATTCTGGTTGTGAGAAAAATCCAACATCCGCTGAACGTCTGCTCAATGTCTGCTAAACATCTGCTGAACATCTGCTGAACATCTGCTTAATGTCTGCTGAATGTCTGCTGAATGTATTCTAAACATCTCCTAAGTCTGCTGAACATCTGCTAAACATCTGCTGAATATCTGCTAAACATCTGCTGAACATCTGCTGAACATCCACTAAACATCTGCTGAACATCCGCTAAACATCTGCTTAATGTCTGCTGAACGTATTCTAAACATCTCCTAAAAGTCTGCTGAACATCTGCTAAACATCTGCTGAACATCTGCTGAACATCCGCTAAACATCTGCTGAACATCCACTGAACATCTGCTGAACGTTTGCTGAACATCTGCTGAACATCCGCTAAACATCTGCTGAACATCCACTGAACATCTGCTGAACGTTTGCTGAACATCTGCTGAACATCTGCTGAACGTCCGCTAAACATCTGCTGAACATCTGCTGAACATCTGCTAAACATCTGCTGAACATCTGCTGAACATCCGCTAAACATCTGCTGAACGGAACGTTTGCTGAACATCTGCTGAACATCCGCTAAATATCTGCTGACCATCCGCTAAACATCTGCTAAATGTCTGCTGAACGTCTGCTAAACATCTGCTAATTGTCTGCTAAACATCTGCGACCATCCGCTACTATCTGCTGAATATCTGCTGAACATCCGCTAAACATCTGTGAAATGTCTTCAGCATCTATCTGACGTTGTTAGAGTCCAGTGTTCCTGATGTTACAGAAGCGTCTGCTGGGTCTAGATGTTAGAGTTATGTGAAATTTGCTGCACACTGATGTTTCCCAGGCAGCTCTCTGGGTTTGAACTGTTTGTGCTTGTAGTTCATAACAACTGAACTATCTCCTTAGAGTTCACTTGGATGTAAAGGAAAATCAAACAGAATCGTTAGTGTTTAAATTCACGTCCTCTTTAGCTGTGCTGCTCCTTTAGTAGGAAGGGCTGCAACACCTCCTCCTCCTCCTCCCTCTGACATCCTGTCCTGTCAGGAGGAAGAGGAGGAAGAGGAGGAAGAGGAGGAAGAAGAGGAAGGGAGAGTGGAACATCTCCACCCTCTACATCCTGACTGTAACCTTCACACAGGACTGAAACACGCCAACCTAGACCTTCACCGGGACTCACTGTCACATTTGTGAGAGAGAGTGTGTGTGTGTGTGTGTGTGTGTGTGTGTGTGTGTGTGTGTGTGTGTGTGTGTGTGTGTGTGTGTGTGTGTGTTTTGACCCTTTAAAACACAAGTACATAAAAACCCAATTTCCCTCACATGAAACATGATATTTCTCATGTGAATTCACCACAGATGAAGTGCCGTGCCATAGATCATCATACATGGTGTTCATGTTCTGTTGTTTTATACTTTGACTCCACTACCTTTAATCTCAGTACGAGGTTTACACAGATAATATGTTTAGTTTATATGAAGCATTAACAAACAGTAAACAGCTTCACCAGGACAAGAACATAATCAGTAATAATCAGTTATGTAATATACAAAACAAGATTATATTATTAATAAACACATGATGTTAATGAGCATCTGATAAGTTTTATAAAGGTCTTATTACCTGTTAACCGACGCTTATTACAAGAACCTTAATATAAAGTTAGTCTGTGTTTCTGTGTTGTGTGGTGTGTGTCTATATTAGTGTAGTGTGCTTGTGTGTAGTGTGTATATCAGTGTGGTGTGTATCATGTCAGGTCTGCACTTGTGTGTTTAACCTCTGTTGAAAAGTGTTGTGTTACTCGTAGTTGAGGAGGAAGCTCCACCCTCAGCAGGAAGTGGTGCTATTTAACCCCGACAGCTCAGGACAGACCCAGACACCGAGACGAGCCCCGTCTCCTAGACCTGATCATTCTGTACTAACAAATTGCTGCAGCAAATAAAACATAACGAGGAAAAGTTAATTAACGTCTGAGTGTAGTGTAACGCAACATAACAAATCCCTCCATGGTCTCGCACCCAGTACGTCTGACCTCCTCCACCCCTATACCCCGTCCCAGAATCTACGGTCCTCGGACACTGGCCTGCTCTCCACCCCCTACACCATCCTGCCATCTCTCCGGGACAGAGCTTTCAGTGTGGCGGCCCCCACCCTCTGGAACTCTCTCCTGGAAGAGGTCCGTACAGCCTCATCTCTGGACACGTCCAAGAAACTGGTGAAAACCCACCTGTTCTTCAAGGCCTGCGGCCGCTAGCTGCCTCATCTCCTACAACCTCCTTCAGTCATGGCCGTCCTCATTCTGTCTCATCTTGTTTTCATTTATGTTTTATTTATTTGTCTTCCTACTCTGTCAACCGGCCTTCGGTACCTGTGAAGGTGCTATAAAAATCTAAGTTATTATTATTATTATTATTATTATTATTATTATAACGTAGTGCAAAATAACGTAAGGTTGTGCAACATGTGATGCAACATAATATAACGGAACACAACACAACGTAACCCAATGTCTTCTGTTTTATGGACTTTTATTGTTTGGCTTTTTGGATGCTCTCATACGATTCAATTGTTTTTCACCTTGAATATTTTTCATATAATAAAACAATTTTTTCATGTTTGTAGCTCATTCCAGTCCACCTCGTCTGTTAGAGATCTAACCAACCAAAATTTAACACAACATAAATAAAAATACATCTAATAAACCACAATTATGCACAACTGCATGGACACATTGTCGGTCCACATGACTCGGGTCTGGGCTGAACTGAGTCGTGATTCATCAGTAAAATGTGGTGAATCATAATAAAGTGAAGATCCGGCTCGTACTCTGGAGCTCAGGCTGTTTCCTGGTTTCACTCTGCAGAGCCGACCGCAGCAGAGACCTCAGTTCAGTCCGGGGACGGACCGCCGGCCTCCCCGCACCTGCAGCACAACAGCATCTGATCACATGACCCCACCATATGGTGACAGAATTAACTTCATTAATAACCTGGACTCAGATGAGCAGCAGAAAATGGATCGATGGATTATTCAAATAAAACCATTCATTTAAATTCACAGTCCGCTGTCAGGACCTCCTCTCCTGGAGGAGCTGCAGCGATCTACAAAAACACTTTGTTTTTTCTGAAGCAGGAAAAATAAAAGGTTTAACACTTTTATCTTTAAGGACCCGAATTCAGTGATTTTTAAAGACTTTTCAAAACCTGCAGAGACTTTAAAGTTCATCTACAGGCATTTTTAAGCTCCTCTGCTGTGAGTCAGACTGGGGGGGCCACGGAGTGGGGTCTCACCTCTGATCCTCTCAGCTCCTCTGGTGGTCTCGTCTCTAGCGTCCATCTTCCTTTCCTCTCCGTCTTCGACCGCGCAGACAGCAAGAGGCGTCCGGCTCGTCTGGTGTTTCCTTCACCGTGACCCAGGTGTAGCGACGGGACCCGGTCTGGATCTGACTCTGGCGTCTCATACACCGGTTCACCTGTGAACACAAAGGCCGTTGATCTGAGACACCGACTTCAGCCAAACAGAGGAATCATATTCATAATAAGGTGAAGTGGGATTAATCGATTGATTCATTATTGATTAATCACAATCACAATCTCCAAAGTGACACCTCTGTCTGGACTGGAGTGGACTGGACTGGATTGAGGACTGGACTTGACTGAACTGGTCTGGACTAGACTGGACTGGACTGGACTGAACTGGACTGAACTGGACTGGACTGAACTGGTCTGGACTGAACTGGTCTGGACTGGACTGGACTGAACTGGACTGGACTAAACTGGACTGGACTGGACTGAGGACTGGACTGAGGACTGGACTGGACTGAACTGGTCTGGACTGGACTGAACTGGACTGGACTGAACTGAGGACTGGACTGGACTGGACTGAGGACTGGACTGGACTGAACTGGACTGGACTGAACTGAGGACTGGACTGGACTGGACTGGACTACACTGGACTGGACTGAACTGGACTGGACTGGACTGGACTGGACTGAACTGGACTGGACTGAACTGGACTGGACTACACTGGACTGGACTGGACTGGACTGAACTGGACTGGACTGAACTGGACTGAACTGGACTGGACTGAACTGGACTGGACTGGACTGAACTGAGGACTGGACTGGACTGGACTGAGGACTGGACTGAACTGGTCTGGACTGGACTGGACTGGACTGGATTGAAGACTGGACTTGACTGAACTGGTCTGGACTTGACTGGACTGGACTGGACTGAACTGGACTGAACTGGACTGGACTGAACTGGACTGGACTGGACTGGATTGAGGACTGGACTTGACTGAACTGGTCTGGACTTGACTGGACTGGACTGGACTGAACTGGACTGAACTGGACTGGACTGAACTGGACTGGACTGAACTGGTCTGGACTACACTGGACTGGACTGGACTGGACTGAACTGGACTGGACTGGACTGGACTGGACTGAGGACTGGACTGGACTGAACTGGACTGGACTGGACTGAGGACTGGACTGGACTGAACTGGACTGGACTGAACTGAGGACTGGACTGGACTGGACTGAGGACTGGACTGGACTGAACTGGTCTGGACTGGACTGAACTGGACTGGACTGAACTCTGTTTCTAAGATCATTTTTAAACAACATCTGAAAACCTGTTTATTTAACTTGGCTTTTAATGAATTCTCTCATATTTTTCTATTCTTACTGTTTCTTATTTTATCATGAACTGTATTTCTATTGTCTAGTTCGTTTTCCTTCAATCCCTTATCTCGTTGTAAAGCACTTTGAGCTCCATCTGCTGTAAGAAAAGTGCTCTATAAATAAAGTTTATTTTTATCATTAGGAACACAATACTGATACTGCACTGGTACTTCACTGGAGTATTTTGGTCTTCACTGTAGCTTTACTGCTTTTATCTGCAGACTCTGATTAACAACTGAAATATAATCAAATATTAAATAAAGATGTATTAATACACACACTCAGCAGTACAGGAAGTCTCTTCACACAGTACTTTTACTCTCAGTACTTTAAGTATAGTTTGATGCTGATACTTTTGTACTTTGTCTGGGGTAAATTTTTGAGTACTTCACCAGTAACTGCCACAGTCTCACAGGTGTACCTGGGGAGCCAGACCCAGGTACTGCAGGTACAAGTGGCGGGTTGAGGGCTCACACTGACCGGAGTGGAAGTGTATGGGTCACACTCTCATGGAGGTGGGGATGTGGTTGAAGGTGATGCTGCTCCGGCTGACGGCTGACGCCCAGCCCGCCCTCGTGCCTCCTCCAGGCGGGGAAGCAGGGGAAGGTGAGTCCGTTTGGGATCCTCTCCCGCGGTGGTCCTGAGACCTGCGGCGGCAGTTTCTAACGCAGCAGTTTTTCCCGCCCATCGAAGAGGGACGAAGAGAAACCGGAGAGGAGACGGTTAAACCGACCGGACAACGATCACCAACTACCATCAACAGTTATGGCTGCCCTCAAGAAGTGACGTGTGCGTGACGTAGGCCTGACGTCACTTCTCCAAACACTACAGCTCCTCTGTGTCTCAAAAACACTACAGACAATTTCACCACAGCCCTTGAATAGATTGTTTATTTAACACTGGTTTACCTGCTCGTTAAACTACGCAGGGTTTCTCTTCATTACGAAGACAATGTGGAACAACTGTTATAAGTTTCATATTCATAAATGTAACTTTGTTTTACATAATCACACTCTAATAAAAACTGTTAATAAGTGTTGTGTTTTTAATGTCTTTATTATTCTGTTGTTTTATTTATTTCAGCTCAGAACTGTATTTAATATGCAAGAAAATGATATCAGTCAATAAAGTAGAAAAACAACATCTATGGTGTTTACAGTGAACGGCTACGTAAAAAAAGCTAACGACATTAATAACAAAACACATTTTAATAAGATTTTCAACACAATCAGCCTGTTGTGTTTGATTTGAGATGTCTTATAATCTTAGAGCTACAGCTGTCTGACCCTGGTGATGGGTGGAGGTAGCCTCTTATTCTTTATCTAGTGATTTAGTCTCTGAAATATTAGATATTAAAACCATTTTCTACGACGAAGAAGCTGATGAGACACAGAATTTATCACGTTTATAATGTTTTTTGCTTAGTACGTTTTAAAGCACTAAAAAATTCACCTTTTACTGTCTTTTCAAATTAAACGAATGAAATGTTTATGAGAAATTAAAAGGAAACAAAACAGGATATGCCCTAGCAGAGGATGGTTTCGATCCATCGACCTCTGGGTTATGGGCCCAGCACGCTTCCGCTGCGCCACTCTGCTGCACAACACCATCAGCTCGGATGAAGTATTTAATACTGTTATACTTGGGAAACATTGGATCAGGTTGTATTTTATCTTTTCACTGAGTGTTCATATTTTATGATTTTATAGTCCACATTATGATTTGACTTATATTTGATAAAGCCGTGAAGACAGAAAGCTTCACAGCGGGGTTAAACTACAGTTTATGGCTTAATCACAAACTGGCGGGGATGTTAACGCCATGGCTGGTTCATATAGACTGTATACAAATGATAAATATCATACTATATTATATATAATTATCGGTCGTATACAGTCTATGGGCTGCTCCCACGTCTTTTGATTGAAAACAACTTTATTTCATGTGAGGACAACTCAGGAAAGAGAAAATGGCCGTGCTTCTAAACGTTTCTGTCTCAGTCGCTAGTTTCAAGTCTCCGTCAACAACACGATGTTCATTTTTAAAATTACTCTCCCGTTTAGAGGAAAAGAGACGATAAAACAGGGCGAGCTTTGGGGCGTGGCTAATGGGTGATTGACAGACTGTGCCACACGAACGGATCGATGCATCTGGGCATCGACCTTACTCTGTGTTTTCAGTTAATGAAAGTTAGTGGTAACATCTTGTCTATAAATGTCTACTCACTATCCAGGGAGTTTCATGTAGAGACTCTATAGTGAGCTTACTGCGAAATGAAGAAACACTTTCCGACACTGTTTCTGTCTCTGAGCGTGAGCACATGCACTACTTCTCACGATGCATTGTGGGATACTACGAGTCAACTATATGGGGTATAATAATTCTCACTATACATTCGGACAGCACTACAAAATGGAAAAGTCAGTATATAGTGGACTATAGAGGGAGTACTGAGTGATCTCAGACACAGCCTTAGTGTCTGCTAGGCTAACGATGACTGGCCCCGCTAACAGGCCAAAAATAAAAACCAACTGTTTACAGCATGTTTTTCAGGAGGCGTCTTACCTGTGCTCTGATCATAACACCTGTGTTTTAACAACCTGAAGACTTCAGTTGACCTGCAGCCAGATGTCCTGTATGAAGCATCAGGCTCACATTTTCATTAACTAACCTGAATAAGAATAAAGTTTATTTCTATAGGACTGATGGAAACCAGAGCTTTACAACAAACAATAAAACACAGTCATTCATGAATAAACAAAAGTAAAGTAAAATGAAAAAACAACCAGTGGATTGAAATATACAGAAAAGATCATAAGAAAACCTTTTGAAGTAGGTAAGTCTTGATGGGGATTTAAAAGAAGACGCTGATGTGGCGAGCTGGAGTTCTTCAGAGAGGTCGTTCCACAGCCGAGGAGCTCGGTTCCCTTCAGTCTTTGACCGTCAGGTGGGAACAATCAGCAGGTTCCTGTCTGAGGATCTCAGGCTGTGACTGGTTGGTAAGAGGAACCCAGTTCAGATATTTATTCTGAAGGATTTTATAGGGTCAAGTAAAATCATCTGGAAATCAGTCCAAAAACAAAAGGGCACAGAGTAACATGTTCTCTGTCCCACTGCCAAACTGAACAACTCGGAGCTTATTGATTGATTTCTGATTTAAGATGAAAGATCAATAATCCAAATCACCAGGAAATGAAGGCATGAATGATACTTTACATTGTTCCTCAGATGATAGAGGCATGAATGGATGACTTTGTTGGTGTGAAAGATCACATCCAGGTTCTGACAGCTGCTGTGACATTAGTGGATAAAGGACCAGGACCGGACTGGAGACCAGAATGAGAAGGATCTCAGTCTGAGTTTGATTACCTGATTTCTGATTATTGGTAAGATCGGAGAGTTTGAGAGGAGCTCGAGTCAAACTCCTCTTCAGAGCTAAAGTCATTTCAGATTGAAATGGGGATGATGGTGGACTGTTCTCAGATCAGTTCAGACTGCAGCACAGTCATCTGCACTTCTTCTCATTCCCTCTGGAGTCACAGACAGACACACACACACACACACACACTGTCCTCTTCACCTTTATGTAGGTCATCACTTCCACCTGTGAGGAGAAGAAGAAGAAGACAGTTGGAGGCTGTCACTGAGGACATCACATGAAAGGGAGGACACTGTCTCTGTTCCTCTGAGGCTGTCAGCTGTAATCAGCTTCACTTCCTGTAGACATCAACTCAACAACAACAGTCGTCTTCACGTCCACTCAGACGCACGACCACGACCAGCTTCTGGCTGCTCTGATTGGCCGACTGTTCTCTCTCGCTGTCTTTCTGTCCAATCCTGACGCCTGTCACCGTTCTCCTCTCACAGCTCTGAGCAGGTTGGAGGTTTATGACACTGATACTAACTGTGTTTAGTACAACACTGCTGAGAGCAGCAAGGACTGACTCCGCCCCCTACTGACCTCAGAGTCACTCTCCAAAGACGGACAGATGGATCCTGGAGACTCTGCTCCGTCCTCTTCCTCCTCACAAACACTCATCTTCAGGACTGTGGGATGAGACACAAGAATCAGGACAAACAAGCTGTTGAAGACGCACACACCCAGAAAGACCAGGAAATGACACACACACATTTGTACTTCTATCATTGTGAGGACACTCATTGACATAATGCATTCCCTAACCCCTGACCATAAAACTGAACCTGAACCTTTGAAGGTGTCTAACCCTAACCCGTTCAAAATGTCCTCACTTTGTTGGGAAAATACTTTTTGTGGTCCTCACTATGTAGCATTTACAAGTTCACACCGTCACACACACATCACAGACGTTTACAGTAAAATAATAATAATGTCATGTGAACACTCACCTGCCTCAGACTTCAGTTACCCTCTGTCCCCATCCAGGTAAAATGGCATCAACTAACACAGAACACTTTCACTTTCAGCTGCTCCTCCCCTCTGCATTTAAAGGAAATCACATGACTGTCTACGTGTGTGTTTGTCTACGTGTGTGTGTGTTTGTCTACGTGTGTGTTTGTCTACGTGTGTGTGTTTGTCTACGTGTGTGTGTGTTTGTCTACGTGTGTGTGTTGTTTACCATTTAGAAGTTTTTTTACCTTAGTTGTAATTTCATCTGTGTTTGTTAAATACCAATGTTCTTTGAACTAAATTAAATTTAATTTACATTCTTTTACAGACTTGCTGTAAAATAAACTATATAAGTGCATTTGCTATTTAAACATTGTGGGTGCGGGATGGGAAAAGACACTTTGCACCGGGTGTAAGACAGAACCCGTCGTCTCTTTGTGGTGGATTTATATTTCTTTGTAATTATTTGATCGATTTTCCAACAAAAAAATGTTAACAGTCACTTAAAACAGAGGCTCGGGACCAGGGCCCCCCTCAGCCCTTTGGTCCCCACGACCTGTGCCCAGGAGACCTGATCAGTAATCCTTAACTAATGAAGTGAAGTAATATCTCTGAAACAGTTTCATAAGTAACAAAACCAGCAGATCACACGCTGCTTTTCACAATTTATTAACAAAATGATAAAATAAATAAATACAAATTGATCAAATGCTCCTAATATCAACTCCTCCCCATGTTCCCTACAGTATTTCCTAAACACTGCATACAAAGAATTCATCACAGAAGAGGCTCAATACAGAGGTAAGAATCCCACCAGACCAGTCACAATGTCAGGCCAACAGAAGACACATCTGGAACAGAAGTCAAAAAAATAAACACATTCCTTTCCAAAATCATTATGAAAAAATACAAACAATTATACAAATATTCAGATTGTGTAATTACCAATTTACACATTATTCAGCACACCAGGTGAACTTTTTCTTTATTCATATCGCTACAATGCATCTCACCAAATGGAAGATAAAAAAAGACTTTTCATTTTTTATTTTTTTTTGCACTCAACACACCCCCAATGGAATTAGCTGTGGATGAGGTAAGAAGCTTCAGGTGTACAGTTGGGTCCAGACAGGATGGATGATGAGCAGTAACAATGGACTGATGTCATGTATCGACAAAATACTAGAAGGCCACAATCATGACTTGATCGTTTAAAAACTAAAAACTGAAAAGACCCGAGTCGAAGTGAACTACTTTACAGGATGCTTCCAGAACAACCCGCCGCAGAGGAACTGGAGACGAAACTTTGTAATGCATAAAAGACGTCCTCAAATACAAACTGGACAGCTCTGAGCTGCAGACACACGTTCCAGCTTGGTGAATGCACACGATGCTGATGCAGAAATGAATTTCCAGATGATATGCATTGACGACATAAAAGGCTTCCAAACTGCAGTGTTCTTTGGATAAATTCACTTTTTAGAGCTTGACTAAATAGAAACCGAGGGCTTTACTCTAGAAGAGGACAGTGATACAATTTAGACATTAGGACTTGATCGAGCCCCCCCACCCTCACCCCCACCCCTCCAACAGCTCTGCTGGGATCCCAACATTCAGCATGGTGCATTAGCCAAGTTCAAATTAAAATCGAAACGAAGGAGCTAAAACCATCTCAGCTCCGTCCATAAAAACACAATGTCAGGAAGAAATGTTTCCGCTCTAACGTGGATGGCTACCGCGCTGTTCAACACCTAAACTGCAGACTTTTGGCATCAAGATGCCAGAATGTCCAAAGAAAAAGGTGACTTGAGTTTAACATAAAACTTAAAAAACAAAAGCAAATGCATATTAAAAAGGTTTGACAAATCTTGTATAAAAATTTGCATAAGAAGGCATGCGTTCCACTGGACTGAGTGGACAGATGTTGCTAATTGGGTCCAAGTCCGCCCATCATCAGGGTGCAGGTTAGTTTGTTCGTTCCAAATGCACACAGGCTTCGGCTCACATGACCTGATTTAGCAAACTCATTCCTCCGACAACAGAAGAAGCACAGCACACAGGGAACGATGAACGACTCAGAACAAAACACAATGAGCTCCAGAGTCAAAGTAATGGCATCCAGACGAGACTGCGATACCTCTAAAATTCAGATCCAGAGCAAGAGTCATGACTGCAATGTGTGTTGCTGACAGATCCTATTTTTACACTCTGATAATAATACTGGTCAAACCAAAAGTGCATCACAAAACAAGTGGCTGTCACACCGAGCGAGATCTCATCATCAACAATCCCTCTTTGGAGCATTTCATCGAGTGACGACGACCAAACGACCTCCGACCTTCGCCAGCGTCTGCAGTGATTTTTTTCAAATGTAAAAGTTGAATCACATAAAAGGAAAATAAAAGACATTTAAGGCAACTCCTATATTAAACAACAACAAAACACTATCTGGTCAATCTAAACGGCATAATATGAAATGTATTTTCAACTTGCATTGACTACTGGCAGCCTGAGGTGAAGGGACCGGGTTTGTGCTCCGGAGTTTGGGGGAGCTTGGTGGGACGGGACAGACCAGAGGAGGGTCGGGTGGGAGGGTCATCTGGAGGGTTAGTAAGGTTCTACAAGTCACAGTGCAAGTCAAGAGACAAATATTATCTGCTGTTTGAAGAAAGGCACTCTAGGTACCTACTGTACAGAGCGAAAGGTCCAGTTTGTCTGGAACACATGTTCGGGCTCTTTCAAAGAAAAATTCGTCAAGTGAAGAGACTAGATGACTACTCTGCTCTATCCATGAGTGAACACAGGTGAACATGTTGGAAAAGAAGAAGTCAACATCCACCCGACAAAGAACAAAACACAAAACAAATGGTTTTCATAGGGAGATGGGGACAGTGTTAGTTGGCATTTTCTGTTAGACTTGCATCTCTGTCCACTCTTTTCCTTCCATGTTCGAACGGCTGAACTCTTCTTTAGAGACAAGAAACATTTATCAGACAACACTGTGGCCAAACATGTGGAAACGTTACAGAGATTTTCCTCTGATTCATTTTTCTGGGATCTTCTGAATGAAGGCAGTTTGTACAGCTGATGTCAGATATGCTGATTCAGTTAGAAGAATCCATATGATATGAAGAAACACACCTGTAACAGCATTTTTCATAGTCGCCCAATAACGTATTCAACCCTTCAATTATGTGCACATTCACTTTGCTATTATAGGATGTCACTACAATAAGAAAATCCTTGTATTATTTTCATATTTAAGAATCAAATCCTGCCCATCAAGTATCAAAGTCTGTAGCCATGCTAGCAGCTTTTAGGCTGCATTAAGTGATAACATCAGCATGCTAACATGCTCACTATGACAATGCTAACACGCAGGTATAATGTTTACCATGTTTATCATCTTAGTTTAGCCTGTTAGCATGCTTACATCAACTAATTAGCAATAAAAGTATCCAGCTGAGGTTGATGGGAATGTCAGTTCTGCGGGTATGTTCATAAAGTTTTGAATAAATTAAACCTGATGATGGCATGGGACGAAAAGTCAGAGGATGAACAAAGTCAGTAGGATTCATCCTCTGAGGAACATGAACATCTGCACAACGGATGTTAAGATATTTGACAGAATAAATGAAAACTGACCACCTGGTGACAATATCTGAAATATCAGAGAATCACCAAAAATCCCTGGGATACATCCTCTGGGCACCACAAACATCTGTAATAAACTTTATGCCAATTCATCCAAAATCTCAACCTCATGGTGGTGCTACGTAAAAGTTAAGGGGGATAAACAAAGCCAGTAGTATTCATCCTCTGGGGACCATAATTTTAAACCAATAGATGTTGAGACATTTCAATCTGGACCAATTGAAGAGTACCACTGGCATCAACAGTGATAATGCTGCTAGCATGGCTAAAAATGTCAATCAATAAAACAGTAAAATAATATTAAAAGCATTTTAGCAGGTTTCAATAGCTGAACCATGAACACCTTCAACTTCAGGGCAACTCAGGGGTGAACGCGTTATTGGACGACTAAACTTTAAGAAAAGCTTCATCATCGCAAAAACAAATAAACAAAATGTTCCAACACAACCAGAGGCACCGTTAATGAACAGACCAGAGTTTGTTAATGCCCCGTACCCAACAAGAAGCCAGAAGTCATGATCATTTCACCAGACAAAGACAGACCCGAACTGACAGCCACCAAGCCAAGGAATAACAGCATCACATTTCAGCCCAGACATGCTCCAGAAAGAAAAGAGATGCACTAGTCTAACTGTGAGGGGATGAAGGGGTTTCTGAGACAGCAAAGGCCTGGGCACTCCTCCCGAAAATATGAACTAGACTTGAGCCTTAATGTCAGACAGAGGTTTGTATTTCCTCCTAGAAAAATATTGGCAATGTGGGGATAAGTCACATCACAACAAAGAGATGCATACTCTGTTTAATTCCATATTAACATACAAAAAGCTCTTCAGCACTTCTTTGTAATGCAGCAAGCTTGTGCTTTAATCTCAGGATTTGTGGTATCGTCCTTTGAGATCCATCTGAAGGAGCAGGTTCATACAACAAATCCCTTCTTTTCAAGGAAAAATACTTCCTTTATGTTATTGTTTACTAAGCTCTCCTGTCTCAATCGGGGGACTTCCAATTTCTGAAATGGTAGCATCCATATCTTACAACGCCAATGATTTGATCTTTCAATACAGTAAGTGGACTTGTCCCTGCTGAATTTGGATACAACATCATTTTGGCAGTTCAGGATTCAACAGAAATGTACATAATGCAAAGATCACCACTTCAAAAAGAGGATTCCTTTTTGTGTTGTTAATGCCAGTCCAGCAGGTTCAGAAAACAGAAAGCACTTATTCTGAAGACTAGGAAGACCTGAATATCTTTTCCTATAAAAAAAGAAACACAGCCCAGATATAGTTTGTGTGTGTTGACATTGCAATATTGCAATTTCACATTTAGTGCTCACAGTTGACACACTTGACTCACGAATGAAAACTCAATCACTACACTTGACCGACACCACTGAAAACATCTGTTAGGCTACTGCGCCTGTTCGACCTCGTCCTCCATACCTGCTGAACACGACGCTCAGCGTCTTTTCTGCCTGAGCTCAGGGATACAGGTGGGGAAGAGATGGGTGTGGGGAGGGTAACTGGGGTTGTTGGTTGGTAGGGGTTGTTTGATCATTGTTTCAACTGGAAGAGGGCTGAGTCTTCTGTTTATCAGGTGAGGGTTGTCAGGGGTCCAGAAGGTCATTGTTGACAAACTGGAGAAGGTAAGTTGATTGGGCTGGTTTTAAAGTCAGGTTAGTTTAAAGAGGTTCAGATGCACATATTAATAATGTTCTGTTTGTTTGAACCTCTATAGGTTTGGGTTGACTGGAGACACTGAGGGAAGTGAGTTTAGACGGGGTTAGATTGGATTGTTGCTGGACTAGGGAAATGAATCTCCAGTTTTAGTCACTATGGCCAGATCACCGCTATTGGTTGATAAGAAGGATTATGTTTTTCTGTTGATTGAAAACTTTAAGTCATTGGTTGATGGGAAAGTTAGGGTTCATTAGGGTAAAGTGGGATTGATAAGAGAATGTTTTAGTCATTGGTTGTGAATTCATAGGGATAGGGTTAAGTTAGGTTGTTGTGGTTCAACATGGAGGTCAGGTAAGATTGTTAAAATGTAAAAATTGTTATGACAACTTTTTCAAAAACAATATTTCCCACTTCATTCAGCAATTGGCAAAGTGTGTGAAGGTGTTTAAGCAGTTAGGAACTGCGTACATGTGTTCAGACAGGACTTTGTATGAACTAGTCCATATGCAGGGGAGGTGGGTGGGGGAGGGCTGCTGGGAAAGGGTTTGAGCTGTTGTACTTAATCTGTGCTTAAAACTCAGTGGGTTAGAGTGGTGCAGGTGGGTTGTTGGGGTTCAATATGGAGGTCACAGTGGATCATTGGTGTTGAGGGAAACGTACGTTCAGGTTTTAGCCACTGGGATTAATATTGGTCTATTGCAGAGGTTCCGGTCATTGGTTGATGATTGATTGAAGTGATTGGTTGAAAGCTAGGGACAATGGTTTAAAGATGCATGAATCTTTCAAATGAAGTGCTTGTTTGATTAATCTAGACAACCCAGACTTTTCTGACATTGTAACTGTGGGGACGACTGCACCTGTCAAGTTTTAATAACTTTCCGAAATCCAACAATCCAACAAGGTACTAGGATTGAAAGTGAGCACATCACCATCTCATCTCACTCCCCTTAACCACAACAGGCTTTTCACTCTGCCTGTGAGGGTGGGCATTCAAGACAATATTTTGTACAAATTAGTTGGTTTGACGCACAATGAATCCCAGTGGATTAAGGTCTCGTTGGATTGATGGAGGACTGGGAAGAAAGTTACTGCTATTGTCAATAATGTTTTTTAGTTGACTGAAGACGGTTTACGTAGTAGGTTGATGGGAAGTTGGTGTAAGATCTGGAGAAACAGGGTTTGTTATTGACAGGGGGGGTTGGGATCATGGATTAGGGCTTAGGTTAATGAAGGTTTGGGACTGGAGGTTTAGGAGATCAGGGTTGTGGGATTGCAGACGATAAAGGTTGTTCACATTAAGTTCAATGGGACAAGGGGATGAACAGGTTCTTCTCAGCACTCTGTCACAACACTGCTTTTTATACCAGTAACCCCTGACAGATGTTTGGTTCCATGTTCTCGGTTGTCTTCATACCCATGTGAACCCATCTCCCCACCCCACAAGAGAACACAGGGGCCACTATAACAGGCACACACTGGTGTGATGATGAATTAAATCTCCCTTTGAGCTTTCCCACCACTGACGTCTATCACTAATTGGCATGATGACACTGGTACGTAGGCCGTCCTGTCCCCAGCTCTGTGGGCCATCAGCCTACTTCTTCCCAGAGTCATGTGACGTGGGCTGTATATCTACCATTGACACAGTCTGACAATACAATGCAAACAAACAACATTTATACAGATTGGCAACTTCAGGGCACCGTACGGTGCAAGCAAATGTCTTTTTTTTTTTAATATATATGTTTGAATTCCCGCAACTGAAGAGACATAGCATTACTTTTTATTGTCCAAACTGCTGACAAGAGCTGGCAAAGAATGCTGGGAGGGTTCTGAGGTTTTGCTGTTGTTGGTGTTGCTGCCGTCACTGTCAGTGACCTCCTCCTGTTTCTTCTCCACCGCTGTCTCTGGAGAATTGACGGCAGCCATCTTGTTCTCAGAGTTGGTGGTGGTGTTAGTGGTGCAGTCTCCTCCGGGGCTGCGGTCAGGGCAGGCCGGCTCTGCCGTACCATTGGTGGTGGCAACAGTCGCGGCCGCTGTGGCAGCTGGAATGTCAACCATTGGAGCTGTCTCAGGCTTGGCCATAACCTCAGCCTGTAGAACAGTCTCTGTGTTACCCCCTCCCCCTCCTCCTGCCCCTACACTAGGCTTGGCCTTACCCCCTGCCCCTACATCGGGGCTGGTATCTGCTGCCTGGACCGGACCGTCTTCCAGGACAGGCTGGCCGTCAGTGTCTCCTCCTGCTGCTGCTGCTGTCTGGTTGCTGCCGGCGGCTGCATGCTGCTCTTGTTTGTCATTTCCATCAATGCTGCTGTTTTCTGATGAGCTTGCAGCTTTCACTTTCTCTACAGAGTTGGCTTCTGGTGCAGCTTCAGAGCTGAGCGCACCTTCAGCACTGTCCTGGACTCTGGCACTGACTTCTTTACCCTCCGTCTCTGCCAGAGCTTGGTTGAAGTTGAAGGCTTGGATGAGGCGAATCAGGTGTTTGACTTTGTCCAGGGAAAGCTGCATTTCTTTCTGACGAGCCAGGATGGTGTTTTTGGTCTCCATGCATTTCTGACAGAAGAAGCACAACAGGGTTAGATTTGACATAAAACACCAGACGTTATTTAGGGAACAACAAAGTCTTTTGAGATTGTCTGATAACTAGCAGCAGTGTGTCCTTTCTCATAATTAACTGCAGTGAACTGAAACCTGAGAGTGTGGCAACAGTTGACCTCAAGAGAATTTTACTGAATCCAGTATTAAATCATATCCCAATAATTTTAATCTCTTATCAAATCTATTTACGTTCAGCTTTAAACCTTATTAAGTAACCGATTGGATAAATCTGACCCAAAGGTTAGACTGAGAGGAAGAAGAACAGATGAGACTGTTAATTACTCCGTAACATCCACCACCTGTAGCTATGACTTCAACATGAGTTGAGCAGTAAAAGTCTGACAGCAGTGTATGTCTGACCTTAACGCCACGAACCTTCAACCGTTGCCATGGGTATCAATGCCCCCAATCAGTATTTGAATCCTGCCTTTTTATTCTTATTTTATTATACCATTTTGTTTTCAGGTTGTGCGTCTCATTCTCGTGGAAACGATATCTCAGTAACACCTTGACAGAACTTCTTCAAATTTCAAAAGTCAAAGGTCAAGGTCAGTGTGACTTCTCAAAACAGTTTTTAGCCATAACTCATGACTTCACAGCAAGTAAGATAAAATTTCACACAAATGGTTAATATTTTATATGACTCTGGATAAACAGGGATGTCACCTGGAACTAGTCTGAGTGGAGGAGGCAGACAACCTAGACGAGGTTCTAGTTAAATATGCATTATCTTGTATGCTAATTAATAATTGTTATTATCTATGTTTTATATAATCTGCTGTCGGAACATGTAACAGTCAGAAGCATGAACTCTGCATGTGAATAAGGTGGAGCAGTGACAGATCTGATTCGAGATCTAGATCTGAGCTCAGCAGACCTGGGTTTGTTTCAGCCTGGGTCTAAAGCAGCAGCAGCAGCTCTGTCTTCATGTTGTTCAGCTGTTTGACGGTGTTTCTTACTGTTATCGAGTTGCTCAGCTGTTTGACTCTCTGTTCCAGCTGCTCTCGCTCCAGTTTCAGTTCAGAACTCCACTTCATCAATTTCTGTTTCTCCTCCTCTTTAGCTGCAACAATAAAACAAAAGTTACTCTCCCTGTCTGCTTTGGTCCCAGCAGGCAGTCGAGAGAAGAGAATCTGTTGTCACCTTCTTTGTAGGCGATGTAGGAATGAACGATAGCCAGGGTCCCGGGCCAGGGAATGGCTTCTTCTTTTTTCAGGATCTGGAGGGAAAAGCTCTGAGTTGTCAAAGAGGCTGAGACTCAGAAAAGATTTAGGAAGACAAGTTTAGCCGCCACCCTGTGGTGAGGCTGAAGAGGAACAAGCAATGGGGTGGATGAACGTGAGATGCCAATCTTTACTAACACAATGAATGAGACAGAAGCACAAAAAAACAATACTGCATCATGTTTATGCTTACAAAGGATTGAACAGTCCCAAAGGTCAGGACAGTGCGGCAGAAGGCCGGTCAACAGATTCAAGTTACAGTCAAGTACAGCTAGGCCCTGACTGGCCCCTCTCTGGACTGCGGTACCCCCTTCCCCCTGACTCAGGATCAGTCTCGGCTGCAGCGGTTACCTGATCTTGACATTTTGGACAGATCCACATGCCTTTAGGAATGGTTTTCAGGGGTGGATCCAGGCAGTCCAGGTGATAAACACGAGAACACGTGTCGCACATGAGCAACTGGCCACTGCGTCTGCACACAGTGCAGAAATCCTCATGGATGTCTCCCTGTGAGGAAGAATTGGACCAATCAGTTTCCCCGCTCAACTGAGCCCCACCAACCATCTGTGGAGAGGCAAGGCAGGGGAGGCACCGTGATCTGGTTTGGTTTAGTTTACAATTGGCCTCGTTTGGATGTCTAATGGACATGGTGTGTTAATTTACTGAGCCCACAGAAAAGTTACTTGACAGTTGGGGGTTAGGATGTGTTCTGAGTAGTAGTTATTAATGATGCTCTGGGCTACAGGACACTGTTCACTTTGTAAGGCTGAATCAAAGTAAAAATCAACTGATGATTGATGATTATCACATGGACACAACAAACTAATGGACGTGTTGGTGGAGGTCTTGGGTGCAAATGACTGAGAGAGCTACTGGGCCAACAGGAGTGTGTGTGACGGGGTGTCCAACCCTTGAACTGTCCGTCTCCCCCATCGTTACTTACATCCCCAGAGCTGGGGCTGGGCAGGGGGAGGGGATGGACGGGGCTGGAGGGGGAGGTCGGGGTGAGGCTGCCCAGCTCCGGGACGCTGCTGTATTTGGGTGGGCGACCTGGGTGAAATGAGACAGACAACAAAGACGGAAAACAAAGAAAAAAAGAAAGATGGAGAGGGGGGAAAACAAAAACAAACAGTCTGTATGACATACCTTGGAAAGGGAGTCTTCGTTGGCTAGCATGAGACAGGGGAGCGGTAAGGGAGGAAGAGGAGGAAGAGGAGGAGTCAGAAGCACAGACAGCAGTGTTAGTGCAGGAGACTGGCTCCATGCAAGCTGAGGCCGAGCACGAGTACAAACCTACTGCAGTCGTCTATGAAGCGCACAACAAATGGACTCGTGTCAGATGTCAACACAACTCAGGTTTAATGTAGGACAGGCCATACAACTTAATTACCATACTGACCAGAGTGTGAGATCGTTTCCTGTTCCTGCAACAAGACTTTGTGAAAATACGGAACTCTTTCATAGTGAATTGTTTTAGTTGGTGAAGTCCTGACCAGGGTTTCTGCAGGTTCACCAAATTAAAGTAAGTGATTGTAAGTCTGTAAGTCTATTATATGATATCCAATCTGCCTCAAACTTGGTCAGAAAATCCATCTCCCCCTGCTGATGCCATATTGTGAAAATTGTTTTCATTTAAGGGCGTGGCTATGGCGGTGCAATGGATTTTTAAACAGGAAGTGGTTGTACGTCTATTATTGTTGTCCAATCTTCCCTAAACTTGTCAGCATTTGCTTTCCACCTAGATGATGCTTCACTGTGAAAATTGTGAGTTTCCGTTGAACAGTGTGGCTCTGGCGGAGGAGCAATGTCCACATTTCACCATGAAGCAGGAAATTGATTTAACCTAAATATATATTGTCTAATCTGCTTCAAATTTTACATACATCTGATTTACATGACATTTCCACTGTGAGGTCTACAGACACACATAGTGTGTGCTTGTTTGCGTGGTCTCTGGCTCCACATTGTGGACAAAAATAAGAATGCAAAGAAACATGCAATACATGTTGTCCACATGGTTCAAGCCGGAAATCCTGAACCTGTGAGCGCGGTGTCCGGCGGTCGCTACAATGAATTGCTGCTTCAACCGGAAATGTACTTGCTGCTACACAATGTGGGTTTATTATTTATTAATTAGGGTTAGGGTTTTTCACCATTTCCCAACACATAATACTCTAACTAACTAACTAACTAACTAACTAATAACTCCTAATGATATAATTCATTGATTTGATGCGACCTGGACTCAGGAAACCAGCAGAAGAACAAATGGATCAACCAATTAAAAACAATTGATTTGTATTTTCATTAGTTACACTAACTGAGGTTCTGAGGTTGACTCTGTGTGAAAATCTGTGAACCACCTCCCCCTGGTAAAATATGACGTGTTCAACAGTAGCTCCGCCCCTTTGATGACAACCATCGACCCTCCATTAAACCACTGATGTGTTAACATCTGACACCGTGAGTTACACGATCTCACATCTTTGCCTTTTCTCTTGAAAGAACTGAAATGAAGGTTGTGCAGGAATTATTCAGTGTTACATGTTAAACCTCTTAGATTAGTGTGTTCTGAGCTGTGATCTCATAAAAGACATTTCATGTTAGTCCTGTTACCGTCCACACTAATCACTGTGGCTTTACTATATTGAAAACCTCATCATATTGTTAACCTGTTCAGTCCTGAGGACTCGTCTGCTTCAGCTGATCTCCCCTCAGAGGAGACACCAGGTGTGAGAGATCAGCCAGATTTATACCTGTTCAGCAGGGCGGTCCACGCTGTGAGACTGCGGATCAGCAACGGCTGCAACTAATGATCGTTTTCAACCTTTAGATTGAATGATTCATATATATATACATATATATATATATGTATACACACACACATCAGTGATGTGCACATGACCAATGTCTTACTATGTCCAACCAACAACAGAAAAGGTTTGTTGTAGCGCCACAAATCATTTTAACCTTTCTAGACATTTTCTGGTTCAAATCTGTTTGTCAGAGACAAGATGTGTCGATGACCTCAGCTCTGACATGATTGGCTAAAACAGATTCCTCACAGAGCTTCATACTAAACACATGAGACGTGATTATCAGTGACTTCATGTGTGTCTTATCAATATTTTGAGCTGCTCCAGCAGAACTCTGTTTTCAAAGAGTTTGGTTTGAGAGACCACGAGACCTGTGAAGCTAGTGGATGGAGATGTTGTTCATTGTGAGGACACTAACTTCACTTCATCTCTTTTTGTAAAGGTCGGAGAAACAAGCAGCCAGAGCTGATCCATCAGATCCAGATATTTGATGTTTACATGTGTTCATGGAGATCTGTGGGAGCCTCAGAGTCTCTGACAAACAGGTAGAAATCCGGCTGTAGACCTGAACCCTGACTGAAGGGACAGGAAGCAGCAGGAGGAATTATCTCTACTGTATCTACTGCTGTCTCCAAAACCTTCACCTGAACCAGACCTCAGCTCAACGACTGTTCTATTGAATCTGAAGCTGCTTCTACTGTCTCTGAACTGGTCTCTACTGTTTCTACTGGTTCAGGATCAGCTTGGACCTGAAGACCAGTATTTCATACGGACCTCTCTTCCTGGTCCCCTGGTGCAGAGGGCTGTTCAGGTAACTCACTGCGCTCTTTTTCCTCTGGAAGACAAATAGAAAAACATGTTAATGACATTGATGTGATGTAATGATATTAATGTGATGTAATATTAATGTGATTTAATAACATTAATGTGATGTAACGGTATTATTGTGATGTAATATTAATGTGATGTAACAATATTAAATATTAGTGTGTGTACCTAACAGGTGTTGTGTGTGTGTGTGTGTGTACCTCACAGGTGTTGTGTGTGTGTACCTCAGGTTCGAACACAGCTCCGCTGTAAACCGGGTTGGCCGTTGTTCTCCTCTTTCGCTCCTGTCTTTTGCTCTGGATTTCTGCAGATGAAAACGTCAGAGTTTTAATTCAAAAACGGCAGCAGCACCAGAAACATGAAGAGACAGAGGAAGGATCACTCACCTTCCAAGTGGTCGTGTGTTACGAGCCCCAAAGACACCATGAAGGCCAGTTTCTAAAAGAGACAAATACAAATCACCTTCAGAACCAGAGACCAGAGACCAGATCCTGGACCAGCATGTGTCAGTCTGGGCCCTACCTCTGGGTTCTCCTCTTTCTTGGGTCTGGGAGCTGGAGACAACGGAGGGGTGGAGGAAGAGGGGAGGCTGACAACGGCCTTCGGCTCAGCTCCGCCTCCTGATTTAACAGTCTGCTGAGGAGGAGGAGAAGGAGAAGAAAGAAGAGGAGGAGGAGAAAGAGGAGGAGACAACAGCAGCTTTAAGTACAGAGACTGTACACTGTTCATTCAGGTAGGACTCAGGTAGGACTCACCTTGGGCTCAGGTGTCAGGCTGCTGATCTGGATCGGCTGGGCGGGAGTCGGGTTGGGGATGGTAGAGGGGTTGGGTGCCTGGGCAGGGCTGCCGAGGCGGGTGGGTGCGGCAGAGACGGGCGTGGTGATGACGATCCCCGTCAGGGGGGTGGAGCCGGTCTTACTGCAGGGCTGTCCGTTCACGATGCGCACCTGATGGATGGGGGCCGCCGAGGGCAGGGATGACGACAGCTTGGTGGCCAACATGACGGGCCTCTGGAGCAGCTGGGGGGCCGCCATCATGGGCGGGGGAGGGGCCGGGGCAATGGGGATGTTGGTGGGTGTGGCCGGTTTGGGCCTGACCTGGTGACAACAGACAGCCAATCAGAAAACAGCACCAAGATGACCTGAGACTGCTGAGTAACACCACTGTGGAGCTAATACTACTACCAGTAATACTACTACTACTAGTACTACTACCACTTCAACTACTAACAACACCAGCACTACTACTACTGTCCCTCAGTTTCCCCAAGGATGAAGGTGAAGCAGAGGAAGGACGAAAGAAGGATGAAGGTGAAGCAGAGGAAGGATGAAAGAAGGATGAAGGTGAAGCAGAGGAAGGACGATAGAAGGATGAAGGTGAAGCAGAGGAAGGATGAAAGAAGGATGAAGGTGAAGCAGAGGAAGGACGATAGAAGGATGAAGGTGAAGCAGAGGAAGGACGATAGAAGGATGAAGGTGAAGCAGAGGAAGGACGATAGAAGGATGAAGGTGAAGCAGAGGAAGGATGAAAGAAGGATGAAGGTGAAGCAGAGGAACATCTATTCTTAACTTTCCTTTTTCCAGAAGGAACTTGCATCACCTGTTGACTGTTGTATGATCAAACACTAAAGTGTTAAATGTACATTTCAAGAGTAGAATAGAATAGAATAACCCACATGTATGATGTTTCTATCATGTGACCCGTGGTCTCTGAGACTGACAGCTGTCATATGTCTGGTAAGCCCCGCCTCCAGGAAGAAGAAAACAATCAATGCATGTGGAATACAGGCTGAGTTTGTTTGTGTGTTCCTTGACTACCAAAACTGTACCTGGTACTACCGGTACTACTGGTAGTACTGGTAATACTGGTAATACTATGAAACAACCAGAGCTCCCAGTGGCATCACTGAGCACAGGTAAACATCAGCAACATCAGTGTTTCCATTTAAAGGGTCAAAAACACACCAACAGCCAGGAACACAAAATACCAAAGAAGCTGCAGGAAAACAAGCTCTCACAACAGAAGGTAAACACACACACACACACACACACACACACACACACACACACACACACACACACACACAGGCAGGAAACCTTTAAAACAACCTGTTCACAAGTCAGTTGGAAAATTAAAACAAGCACAACGAGAGGAGAGAGATGAGTAGAGGCAGCACAGAGCAAACAATGTTTTAGTGCCACGGAGCAAGGCATGAGTGTTTGCTTTGGTGCACTCCTGCCCTCTGCTGGAGAGTGAGTGAGTCACCTCAGGTGGGCCACACACACTGATCTGAAGGGGTTAGGGTTTGGAGGCGGGTCTTACAGGGACGCACCTGTGGCTGAAAGGTGGGTCGAGGCGTCAGTCTAGGAGGAGGGACAAACTGAGGAACTTTGATTGGCTGGGCGGAGGTGGTGGTGGTGGTGGTGGCCTGCACCTGAGACAAAACCACAGCAGATTGTGGATCTGACATGTCTGCTGCTGCTGTCAGTTCACATCTCCAGTACCTACAGGGCTGGTTCTGATCAGCCAATCACAACACACCACCAGACGTTTGTGCACAACCACAGAGGAGGTGAAGCAGCGTGTTTCTCTGGCACTGACGATGGCGAAAGTGTTTCCAGTGACAGTTTGTGGAGTCTGTCCTTGTCTGTTTGGACCGGGTTCACATCGAGTCTCTGCAGCTTAAAGGGACAGTTCACTTAAGCCTAACCCTGACGTCATCTGGTGCCACGTGCTTCTATTGGCTAACTCACAAACTCTAAAGCTCCTTTTCCACTGATCAAAAAAACCCTGAAAGACGCTCGAACATCGGGCTTCTGTCGTCAGTGGAAAAGGATTCAATCAGCTTCACACCCGGGCCACATGAGCCAGTCAACATGGCGGCTAGCAGCTCACTCTCTCTCCACTGTGTCTGTGTGTGTGCTTTGTTAGTGCATGTAATGACATCACTCCCTGCAGTTGTGTGTGTCCTCAGTCCGAACAGAAAGACAAACTCGACTGTCAGTGGAAAAGGAGTCAATCGGCTTTTCTTAGCAGGTTTACGAGTGTTTAAAAAACCTGCTTACACCTAAAAATCTTTGGCAGAAAAGGGTGTAAAACACAAAATCTGAGTCAGGATCATGACTCAACAGAAGCCTCACTGGTCCTCTGGACGCTCGTGACCTCTGTGGTTTGACACAAACGTGGCACGGTGAGATCAGCTAGACCACAGGCCACCACTCACACCACGGCCTGCTCGAGCTCGTGTCATGTGATTAGAGAAACATCCTTCACTTAGAGCAGGGACACGTTAAACCCCACAGGTCTACAGACTACTGTCAACATGCTGGTCTACTCTACACATCACAACACTCATCACTGTCTGTAACATCAGAGGCAGGCGATGATACGTGACCGGACAGTGGCGGGAACCGAGGATCTTACCACCATGGCGTTTTTGGATACCAGCCGCACAGGCTCTGAGCTCTGGTTGGTCAGCTTGCTGGCCACCTGCAGGTTGATGGGAGCGTTCTGCGAGTCCTGTTTGGTGATAGCTGTGGTTACCATAGCGACAGTGGCCGGGCGTTGTGGCAGGACGGAGCCGGGCAGGGCAGGAGTGGCGGCAGCTTTCAGCACCAGAGGTAGAGTCTTCGTGGTGAGGACTGGTGTGACCGTCAGCGTCTGATGAGAGAAAATATAACCCATGACACACTGGACTTAGTCACACTGTGAAGTTCATAACGCTTTTTAATTCCCTTACTTCTCTTATGAATGACATATATGTGTGTGTGTGTGTGTGTGTGTGTGTGTGTGTGTGTCCTACCTGCTGCAGTCCTCCAGGTATCTGCTGGCTCTGCAGCAGGTTGGCTGGTTTGATGTCGCCACCTACTGGAGGAGTTTGGACCTGCAGCTGCAGCTTGGCCTCTGGCTCCTGCTTCACCAGCAGCTCCTTCCTCAGCTGCTCCACCACCTTTTTCTTGGGGGGGGGGGGAGTAACACATCTGACCTTTGACCCTTTGCTTAACTGCGTCTCAGTAACATTCACATCACACCAATGACAAACCTTTAATCAGATTTCTTGTAGTGGTGGGTAATGAAGCTAGAGATCATGTAATTAATGAAGAGCTCCTCCTCATCACATCAGGTGATCAACAGATCAATATTCTGCTGATAACCAACTCAGAAACACAAAGATCCTGAGCGTGTTCACACAGTTGACCCTGTGACCTTCAGTCTGACCTTGTGACCTTCAGTCTGACCCTGAACTCTGTCATACAGTCACAACACAGTCACATATTCACTGCTGCAGCTGACAATTCTTCATCATCAACTATCAATTCATCTGTCAATTATTTTCTTCATTGATCGTTTTGTCCATAAAACGTTAATGTGTTGTTTTCAGATGTTTGGAACCAGTTCACATCAAAACTATCATGATCTTAATGATAATTATCAAAATGACTGATGATTCATTTACTGTCAATCAAACCAACCTGTAATTGACTAATTGTTGCAGCTCAGAGTATTTGATTGATCACTTGATCCAGGAACCAGGAACAGTTGATCCTCTGAGACCAAGAACCTGTTCAGCTTCTACATGAACACGTTCTGCACTCTGACAGATCTATGATCTGATGGTTCACATGATGAGAGCTGCTCCTCTTCCAGAGCAACAAACTCAGGGGAGAAGCTCTAAACCACACAGTCACTGCTCTCATCCGATTGGCTGCTACACACAACATCACTAACTCATCATGAGACACACACACACACACACACACACACACACACACACACACACACACACACACACACACACACGGGAAGGATTCACAATCAAAAGATAAAACCCCAACACTTGACTCTCTTGATGCAGTGACACAGTTCAGCTGAACCGTTCATTGACCTTCTGGATTCAGACTGTCACACAGTTCTGTCTGAGCAGCAGAAGCAACACTCACCACAGACTTCTTCTTCTACTTATTTTAAAATTTTCAGACACTGAAGTCTGTGACCAGTCTAAGGCTCCGTCCACACCACTATGCGTTTGTTTTAAAACGCATCTCTTTTGCTATGTTTTCACCTCCTGTCCACACGACGCCGGAGTTTTCAAGTCCCGAAAACAGAGACTTTCAGAAACTCTGCTGACCCCGTTTTATTTTGAAAACTCTGGGGTTGTGTTTTATTTTGAAAACTCTGGGGTTGTGTTTTACTTTGAAAACTCTGGGGTTGTGTTTTATTTTGAAGACTCTGGGGTTGTGTTGTAGTCTGGATGGACAGAAACTAAGACCTTTGTAAACGATGAGGTCACAGCCACGGTCTCTCCTGATTGGCTGTCATCAGCCTGGACTACCAGTGGTGAATACAACATGAGAATGAATGACAGAGTTACTGAGCTTGTTGTCTTTGCAGCTGCTGTTCACTTACATTCTCTATTGTAATGCTACAACTGTCTCTGCTGCTCCTCCTTCAGAGGCTTTACTGCAGAGGAGACAAGCTACTTCCTGTTTACACCGGCTCCACATGCTCAGTGTAGGTGAATGCTCAGGTATGTGTGTATTTTCAGACGGAGATCGTATTGAAAACAGGTTTATTTTGTCCAGTTTATAGAGACATTCATCTGTAACTGTTCACATGTAGTGAAACTGTCTGATCACCAGCAGCTGAATCAGCTGTGATCAGCTGTGATCAGCTGATTCAGCTCCTGTCTGCAGTGTATCATGATGTTCAGACTGTGATACTGAAGAAACTTAAAAACAGGAGGATTCTCTATGAAGTTCTGCAGGTAGACGTAGCGTCTTTTTCTGTGTTCAACAAGAAAGACTCTGGAAACTTCAACAAACTAAAGGACTTTCCTCTATGTGTCTCGTCACTGCTTCTGCTCCAGCTGTTTTCACACCTGCACACACCTGTCCCTGTCACCTCTCACTGTATCTCTGACTCAGTGTTTTGAGTATTTTTACAGCAGACACATGAACCTGAGGACAGAGGTGTTTCATCAGAAACAGTCTCAGGTATTTCACCTGTTGAGACTCGTCCCATGTGTCAGTGACTAACTCCAGGTCTCAGCCTGTCAGCAGGAGACATGACTGATGAGTAATTGATGATCCATAAAACAGACTCTCAGCTCTGAGCACAAACGGATTGGACTAAAATGGACTAAAAAGAAACCAATCATACAACAATTCAGGAATATAATTAGACACTATATTGGTTCATTACGTGACTAAAGAACAGTAAAGCCATAAAAACAGTAGAAACATGGAAAGCTTCAAATATTTTCCTTTAATATCTTTGTTTTGCTTCATGGTAACCCTGTGTATACAGTTGGTTTTGTCCTTTTGAAATACTTTTGTTTATTATTTTTGTTTCATTATCCTCCTTTATACGTTGTATTTATTTCCTTTTATTGTATTTATTTATTTGTATGTATCGTACATATTTTACTATATGTATTTTATTTCTGACATTAATGATTGTTGCCTTAATTTTCAGTGTTTAATTGCTTTAATTAGGTGAAATGGAAAATGTTTTTCAATAAAGCATTAAAAAGTGTATACATGGACAGAACTTTGTGACATCAAACGTTACCTGGAGGCATTTTATCATCAATAAAAAGAATTGAAATCATAATTGTTATTTAATTGCCTTGTTACATGTTGCAAAGTCCTAACAAAGAGCGTCAAATCAGACGAGAATATTTCCTGAATAATAAACCAGTGAACACAGGTCAGTGTGAACCAGTAACACTGTGATGTCTGTGACGGTTTCACTGGTCCATGTGGAGAGAGCAGTAACATCAAGGTTCTGATCCGAAACATGGTTTTCTACACGTTCACCTGCAAAGACCAGTCCTCTGTGTGTGTGTGTGTGTGTGTGTGTGTGTGTGTGTGTGTGTGGTAACATACCTGCTTCTCACTGAGTGCTGTGATCTTTGCTTGAAGTTCGTGGAGCTGCTTCTTCAGATCTGCGTTCTGAAACAAGAACCAGTTAGACTGGGTCAGACCAGGTCCTGGTGAACCTCTGAGACCAGGACCAGGTCCTGTGACACTACCTGGTGTAAAGTCACTAACACAACTCTGATTACAGGAGGTTTACCTGAGGGTCCTGCTTCATCTGGGCAACCAGTTTCTGTAAAAGAAGAAGAAGACACAGTCAGACCACTGACACCTACTGGTCACCATGAAGAACTACAACCAGAGGAAACGTTCAGACAGGAAGTGAAACAACATTCGTGAGGACAGAGTCTCTTTCAGATTATAAACTCATGTAGAAGCTCAGGTGTTTCTATGTCAACAACGCAAACAAAGGACCAGAGGACCAGAGGAGTCCAAGTCCAGGGCTCAGCTCAAACTCCTGTCCTCTGGTTTTCACTTAGTAACAACCTGACACGTTGAGACTCAACAGTGAGGACAGCACAGTGGTGGAGGCTGGATCCTGGATCCTACACCTCAGACAGCTCAGTGAGCTCACAGTGTCCGGGTCCGGCTGTAACTCTTGTAATCTGATTACTTCAGTGAACACATTAACAAACTAATGTTGATGCTAATTGTGTAAGGGTCCAGGTCCAGGTCTAAACCTGGACCTGGACCCTGAGCTGGATTAGTCCTGAAACTCTCCCAACCCACTGACCCAGGACCTGGACCCAGCTCACCTGATGGATCTGGATCTCCACCTTCAGAGCCTCCTGTAACGTCTGTAATTCCATCATGGATCCAGTCAGTCTGCCAGCCGATCGATCAGCCTACACACACACACACACACACACACACACACACACACACACACACACACACACACACACACACACACACACACACACGAGAGAGGTTTAAACCGCCAGTTCAACAGAAATCAGCAGCATTGGGGTCACATCTGTCGTCATGGCAACCTGAGGCACAAGCCTTGTAAGGACTTCCTGTGTGAAGCTGACCAATAACACTTCACCCTCAAGGTCAAACAAGGTCACAGGAAGTCCAGTGTGATTAAACTGGACCAGCATCATTACAGAACAACACTGACACTCCTGCTCTAAACTATACATACATCATATAATATAAAATAAAGAACATACTGCAGTATTATGACTGTACTATTATTAATTAATACTGTATAACTGGGTTTTTACCTTAACACTGTCTCCAGTAGGAAAACCATCCAACTGAAGCATTAAAGTGCCGCTGCGGAAAAAAAGAAAAAGAAAAAGGAAAAAAATCACATTTAACTAAAGTTATTGACAAGTAAACAATTACAATATTAAAATATTATTGTGTTAGAATTAAAAAATACATATAAAATGAAACTAAAGTGAACCAAGTTGTACAGAACAATTATAACTAAAATAATAACAGAAAATGAAACCAAAAAATAAACTGAAACTGAAATTAAAGTGGAACAAAGTTAACTGAGCATTTTATTATAATTATAGTATTTAGTATAACAAAAACAAAAATAATATAAAATAAAAAGTAGTTACAAATTTATTATAATTTTAAGATTATAACAAAATTTTATAGAAGTATGTTTAAGTATAAAAAGATAAAAAACAAAAACAATAAAATGAAACTGGAACAATGTAAGCAGAACAACTTTATTACAATGTCATAATCATAATAAAAATAATATAAAATAAAAATAATTATAATTTAATTATAATAGAAACACAAATAAGAACTACAGTTATATTATGATAATATATTATAAAATGACTGAATGTTGCCTTGTTATGAAGCCAAACAGGTTGGAAGTAATTTTATATTATTATTGTTATTATTATTATTATTGTTATTATTATTATTATTAATCTGACAGAGGGTGATTATAATATTATAATTATAGAGTACTTAAACTATATCATGATACGAGAAAATTGACTGCATCATTAAAACACATTAAATCTAATTTACTGTTTCTGACACAAATTATATTAACTTATTAACACTGAATTATTATGTTTAAATGAAAAATAAAAAATGAATTGGTTTATTTTTTTAAATGTTGTAAAAATATTAACCTGTCAATTAAAATTTAAATAACAAAAAGTTTCATGGTAATTATATTTAAAATAATAAGATGTACTTCACTTTTTTACTGTTCAGTTGCTTTAATTTATTTATGACAATCCAGTGTTTTCTTTAATTAAAACTCTTTATATGTCACTTTAATTATTAATGGAAACAACTTTGACTAACAGGTAAATGTGCCAGTAAAATAAAACTGGTTATAGTAATAGTTAATGTTCATTAACTTAATTACTTACATTTCAATTATAATTTCATTATTACTAAATGTAAACGAATTATTAAAACAAAATGTGTGAAATGTGACGTCATTACAATCATTAATCAACAACTACAATTAAACCATAAGAAGTAAAAGTAAAATAAAAGTTTAATTAAATTATTATTATTATATTATTAAATTATTCTTCTTTATAAATTTAAAAAGCTCTTTAAATTATTTAACTGTAACTTTACTCTTTAAATTGGTGACATGTAATTTTATTATTAAAATGAAATAAATTACTGATTATTAATTAACTGAAGCATTTAAATCACATGATTATCATCAAAGTAAAAACTGGTTAAATGTCAATTGTGATAATCATTCAGTGATTATTATGATTAAAGTTCATCCATTACTGCTATTACACGTGCCTTTATTGTTATTATTATGACTCACCACCTGGCTGTGGGACTGGACTCCACCCCTCTGTGCTGCCCTGTAAAACACAACAAACACACTTTACCAAACCCATTCAGTGAACACTGATTATAACAAATTTAATCTCTCATAAATTCAAACAGAATAATAAATAACAGAACTAAATTATTCTAAAGTGTAAACAACGACATTCTCTGAGTGTGTTGGATTTTACATTTTCATCTGTAAACGACGTTTTTATTATAAAATGACGTCAGCTGGAATAATATGAAATATGTAACGAGACAAATATTAAGATAGTGGCACTTTAACTGAACGTTCCCATGTTGTGAAACTTGATCATTTTTCTCCAGTAATTTGTTTGGATAAATATGACCTGTTATAAAGCATTTATTCACTCTTTATTATAAAAAGATAAACTCTTTTCTTATCTAATATTAGTGATGGTAGAAAAAAATCACACTCTGTACTAAAGTAAGACTATATAAATAAAAACATCCTAGTGAAGTAAAGTATTTGTGAATTTACCGTTGTATCACCTTTATGTAGTAGAAGTTAAAGTAGTAGTTTGTAGTAAAATGTTTGTCACAAGCAAAAAAAAAAAAACCTTCATGAAAAGACATTTTATATGTCTTTTGTTTACACAGTATTACACAGTATTACACAGTATTACACAGTATTACACAGTATTAACCCAATTCAGAGTAAAACAGACATTCAGGAACAAGGTATAAAAATGTACTCACAGTACTCACATCCTCCTGAAATAATCTATGAAATGTCATTTGGCCTCTGTAACTATCACATGTCACATGATCAGATTATTGATACTGATGTAGTTCAGTATTTTCTTCTTCTTCTACTGCTCCACATGTCACTGGGAGTTGCAGTTTTTATATCTATATGTATATATGTGATACTTTCAGTACAGGAAGTACTTTTACTGTGATACTTTAACTGCCGTCAGTACATGAAGTACTTTTACTGTGATGCTTTCAGTACAGGGAGTACTTTTACTGCGATACTTTCACTACAGGAAGTACATGAAGTACTTTTACTGTGATACTTTAACAACATTAAGTACTTTTACTGTGATACTTTCACTACAGGAAGTACTTTTACTGTGACACTTTAACTAAATGAACTACTTTCACTGTGATACTGCAACTACAAGAAGTACTTTCATGTGATACTGTAACTACAGGAGGTACTTTTACTGTCATACTTTAAATGAAGTACTTTTACTGTGATACTTTAAATGAAGTACTTTGTGAGTTCTTGCCAACAGGTTTGTTGTGAAATAATAAAACATGATACTCATTCAGTCACTGACGCACAGAGTACACCATAGTCAAATACAAAAAAATACTACAGTGCCCCAACACGTACTAACACACAGGAGTACTGTGTGTTGAGTAAAAAGTACATCGCCTCCCTCTGAAATGTAGCAGAGAATGGAAATACTCAAATAAAGTACAAGTACCTCAAACTGTACTTAATTAATTACAGTTTTGGAGTACTTGTACTCGAGTATTTCCATTACCCAGTAAATGTACTTAGTACGCAGCAGTATTTAAACCCTGGTGTTAACTGCAGTAGCTGGAACATGAAGTTTATCAGAAATGAATACTTCAGAAGTACTTCAGAAAAGTACAATTACTTCAAATGTAACTCCAAAGTAACTAGTAACTAATCTGTCAGACAAATGTAGTGCAGAACAAACACAGTACATCCTCTGAGATGTGGAGTACAAGTATGACGTTCTTGTAATGAAGTATTTTTACTTTGGTGTACTTGTACTTTTAGATCTCAGCACTTCCTCCCTCATCTGTACCCAGGTACAATTTTGAAGTACTTTTCTTGTGTACTTCATACTTCTCCTTCACATCACAGACATGTAGTACTTTAACATGTAACTGCAGGTACTGCTCACCTGACTTCACAGGTGATAAACACAGATAAACACAACAGTATAAACAGCAGTGTACTTGAGTACCGTCATTACCACCGTTAGTTAATGTGTTGTTGTTAGTTAGTTTACTGTTTGTTGTTGTTTACTGTTTGTTGTTTTTGTTAGCTTCAGTAAACAACAGGTCCATGCTGATGCAATAAACATTAGACTTTAACATTCCTCCACTGATTCATGTGTTTGTAAAGAAGACACCCTGCAGTCACTGAGGCAGTACTACTACTACTACTACTACTACTACTACTGAGTACCTGAAGCTATAGTTACTAAGTACAACTACTTAACATTACTACTGTTCAGTAGTTGTCAGATAAATGTGGTGCAGTAGAATAAAGGAAATACTCATGTGAAGTACAAGTACCTCAAAATTATACCCGAGTCCAGTGCTTGAGTACCAGTACTACTACTACTACTTTTTTAACTATATTATGAGTACCACTACTTAACTATATTAAAACTACTATTACTTCTACTTAACTATACTATAAGTACAACTACTTAATTATATTATGAGCACTACTTAATGAGGCGCAGTATTAAATCCTGGTGGCTGGCTGCAGTAGCTGCTCTCTGGGTGGGACACAAGTTTTCTGGATAAACTTCCATCAGATGTGAATACATCACCAAACACTCAGTACCTCAGAGTTGTACTACTGTAGTATTGTGTTATTAGTACTGTAAATACAACTACTTAAATTACTTCAAAGTAACTAGTAACTTAATGTCATACATACACGTACAAAGCAGAATATGTGAAATGGATCAGGAGGATGAAGTGTTATAAAATGGAAACATTCACATAAAGTACAAGTACCTGAAGACTGTACTCGGATCCCGTGAGTACTACCACCATTACTACTACCAGTACTACTACCACTACTTGGTGAGCAGCAGTATGTGAAGCTGGCGGTTAATTGCAGTAATTGCTCCCTGGGTGGGACATGAAGTTGTCTGGATAAACTTCCATCAGCAGCGCGTGCCGCAGCAGAGGCCCCGAAAAGGGGAGAAATGAAGCTAAAATGGAGGTTTTCAAGATGAGAGCCGTTAAGTGCTTCAGCTGCGGGAGTTCAAACACTGAAAAAGTGCTTTTTGTTTCGGCGGCCAAATAAATGTTTTATAACCTGCTTATTAAACCGCCGCGGTCGGTTCTGGACGCTCGGGCTTAAACATCCATCCGACCTGCCTCGGTGCATCCTCGGTAACGGTCGTGTATTGGGGGATTACCGGGCCCCTGAGTGTGTTTGGGGGCTGAGAAAATCATCCGAACCGACCCTCTCTCTGCCGACATTGCTCCGTGAGAGGCTGAGAAACGTTAACCGAGAACAAGTGGATAACGTTAGCTGTAGCCGCTAATGCTAACCATCCTGTTAGCTGCGCTGGCTAACGCTGCCAGCCACGCTGATAACTTACACCGAAGATGAATAAAACCCGCGGGCCGCGATGTGAAGGGAGAGAAAAAGACAGAGGAGGTAAAGAAACCCGCCCGGGAACAGTCCCAAAAGACGCCATCTTTCATGAATTATGACACCGAGCAGGCGTCGGTGGGTCTAAGTTATATCGGCCCCTTGTCCTCCAGAATATCAACTCCTAGAATAAGAAACAGAGCAGCTAAACACACAGAAACACAGTGAGCAGCGCTGAATGCAGACAAACACCGGCCGCCAGCTCACACACCTGCCCGCAGACACCCGCACACACACCGGCACAGGCGGACAGAAGAGGACAGGTAAACTTTGACAACAGAGAAAATTAAAGTTATGAAATTAAAAAGCCCCAATGTGCACTTACTCAGCAGCAGTCCTCCTCTAGATTAATTAAATATATATCTATAAGAAGCCGATCCACGGTGGAATAACAGCGTACAAAGAGCCGGGCCGCCTCCTTCCCGCACGCCTCTGCTTTGTTGCCGTATTTAATGTTTAGTTTTAGTCAAATTTGTGTAAAAACAGAGAAACTGAAGCTACAAAACAAGAAGAACTCTTCTTCAATCTCATTCAGCTCAGCCTCAGCACAGCACAGATCCCTGCGCTCCGGAGCTGGAGGAAGGGGGACAAAAACTACTTACCCGTCCAACTAATGCTCGTTTATCCGCGACAAAGCGTTTGATATTCGCGTGTGTTGTTGTTAAAGTTGCTTAAATCGAGCCGATCAGCTAAGCAAGGTGCCGGGAAAATGTGTTCGAAAAGCGGACTACTTTTTGTGTCGGTGCGGCGAATTTATTTCACTTTGCCTAAGGAACGGCGGTGCTACGACTCCCATTGCCTAGGGAAAAAACCCGGATGTAAACTCAGTGAAACTCTATGGAGAGAAAGTCAGCACACACACACACACACACACACACACACACACACACACACACACACACACACACACACACACACCATGTAACTCAGCAGAGCAGCGGAGCAGTTTGTTGTGTTGCTTTTTGTCTCTGTCTGCAGTCATGTGTCTCCTCCGCGGATTCACAGCCGGGCCGTCCGCTCTCAGCCTGCCGCCGTCCAGGCTCCAGGGTCGGCTGCTCGCTGCCGGAGCTGCCGGGCTGTTGCACTTAGTGGAGGAGGAGGAGGAGTACAGGTGGCACGGCCTTCTCCTCTGTCTACCAGAAAATGTACAGGTGTGTCTCAGAGACTTCAGGGTTTCTACCTCACTAATAACTAAATAAATCAGTGGAGGAATGTGACTAAACATTATTATTATGACAGGATCAGTCTCTTCAGCTGTATCCTGAACAGACAAACAAAAAGCACATTACGGACAGTAACTACAGTAGGCTACTTTTGTACTTTAGTGTTTCCATGTTACTTCATATTTGTATAAACAACATGTGGATTCACTGTCACAGACTTTAACACTAACAAACAAATGCATCAGTAAACAAACACATGAGCAGTGGGTCAACACAGTGTCCATCTACTTTGTTTTACATTGTCACTTTATAATTCTGCAGTAGTAAATAAAAAGTAAATAACACTTTTCATCACTTTTCTGATTCTGATGTAAAACATACAATGATCTAATAAAACATGATGCAATGATTCACTATTGACACATTCAGTCATAAAATACATTATCAATAATGTATCAACCTCAAAGTGGTTCTACACTGTTATTATATTATATTATACTATATTACATTATTTTACTTTATTTTATTTTATATTACATATTATTATACACACACTGTAAAAAAAAAAATTAAAGTAAAATATCCTAATTCAAATAAAGTGTAAAAACAATAAATTTACAGAAAGTTTCATTACTATTTCTACAGAGAAAAACTGTTATTTTACAGATTTCTCCTGATTTATTATGATCAAACTCCTTCAATAAAGTGACGCCACTAAAGTTTCTGCAGAGAAACTTTTTCCTAATAATAAAATTAAGTGTCAATTGATAGAATATTAACACAAGCTTCATATTGTAAAGTAAACCTTTTGTTTTGGAAGACAAAGTAAAAAATACTGTGTAAAACAGATTAAAATCATCTCAAACTTCAACTTGCAGTATTTGTGTCAACATTGAATCTTTAAGTGTAAAGTAATGTTAAAACCTGTAGAAGCTCAATCTAAATACAATATTTACTGATTCAGATTCAGATCAATTTTCTTACATTTCTCATAAAATATAATAAACTGAAGAAATGCAAAAATGTTAAGTCTCTGTATGTAGTCTTTCAACTAAAGTGGGGTTGGAAACTTAATTACAAATAACATACGCACCACTATTGACTTTATAACACTTTTATTTAATATATCAGATGTAAATTTACAATATCAACCAATTATTCACCAAATAGTTCTTCAGAGCCCCGGGATGATCTGAAGAACTAAAACTGGCATTTCTCCATTGGTCCTATCTTGCCTGTTAAGGTTCCTATAATGAGGGAGGTGATGATGTCACCTCTGAAAGAGGGGGGGCTGTGGAGCTGAGGGGGGGGTGGTTTCTGTGTTTTTTAGCTTGTATCTTCCAATTCAGTTTTATTTCATAACTCTCTTTCTCTGAAACTTTCCCTGCTACTTGTTGTTTTTCAGAATACAGTTTAAAACCCATCCATCCTCCTCTTGGTCACAAAGCACCTGCTGGTCTGGCTTCACAGAACATCTCAGACATGCTGTTAGTTTACAATCCCAGCAGATCACACGCTGGAAATCTCCGTGTGTCTAGAGCATTTTCAAAGTGTAGTGAGATGCTTTTAGCATCTGTGCACCTGAAACAGTTTACCTGCTGATCTTAGACTCGCCCCATCAATGTGTTCTTTTAAAACCAAACTAAAGACCTTCCATTTCTTAAATGCTGGAGGACGGTGCTTTTAAACCAGAAACACTTCATTCTGTTCCCCACCACCTGGTGATGTATTGTCACTCCTGCTTCTTCAGCATTATCATGATCTCACAGGTGATGTGCTGCTGTGGGTCCTTGGCCATGTTAAATACAGTTGGACACACCAACAAATATCCAGTTATATCTCAGAGCTGTTACCTTTGAATATCTGACATGTTTCTTAATAACTTCCATGCTGTTGACATCAGTAACTGCACATCATACTTCTCAGGGAGGGTTCTGGTACAGTGACGGCCATCTACGTCACATAAACAGCAGAGTAAATGTTTTCTTACCTGATATCTTTGCAGGATATAAATTCACTTAACTTCTCTTAGGTGACCGAACAGATTCCGTCCGACCTTTCCTAATATTCCAGTTCTCCATTAAAACCCTACAACTCAAATTCCCTCAAAATAAGAATTTATCAGATATAAAATGATCCAGGAAACAGGAGACCGAGTAGCAGTGCGGAGCACAGACACCCAGCAGCAGCACTCCCACTCAACACGTACTTTCAAATTTGACGGTGAGAGCCGTGCACAGTTGTCATTGGCCAGTTGCCTTGATGACAGTCAGATAAACCAATCCTGTTCAAATGCTCACGATGAGACAGCCAATAGCATTTGTTTCAGCGCAGTAACATAGCAACAATAGGAAAATAGGGTTTGTTTAGAAATGTGTGTATTTAGTTTTATTTATAGGCTATTTCATTTTGACCAATTAGGTCAAATATTGTTTTTGTAGGGTATGAATAAAAATTAAATAATGTATGGTAAAGTTTTATTAATACCTATGGGTTTACACAGGCACACAGACACAGACCATAGACTATATAAAAATGGACGTTGACGGTCTGGTCTGAAGCCAATGTAGAAGTGCCTTAAACTTGCATTCTATGGAATGACCATCAGGGGGCGACTCCACTGGTTGCAAAAAGAAGTCCGATTGTATTGAAGTCTATGAGAAAATGACCCTACTTGTCACTTGATTTGTTACCTCAGTAAACATTTTCGTTATGTGTTTATGGTCTGAATCTCTAGTTTGAAGTTTTCTTCAACACAACATGACGTTCATTTTTCAAATGATGGTCCTATTTAAAAGAAAATAGACGTTAAAGCAGAGTGGCTTTAGGGCGTGGCTACCGCGTCATTGACACACAGAGGGACCTGCCTGTTGATCCGGATATGACGTCAGAGCGATGTCTCGGACATTTGACTTGTCATTGTGTTTTCAGTTCATCAAAGTTAGCTCCAACATGTTGTTTACCGGTAAATGTCTTGTTCTGTGTTCAGTTGTTCTCACAGACACTCAGAGGAGTCGGCGGTTCAGTTTTTTCCAGTAAGTACTGTGAGGATCGGCCGAGCAGCCAGACACATGAAAGAGGATTCACAGGTGAAGTTCAACAGTCCCAGTGAATTTTATTTATAGCAGTGGAGTCCCGTGAAGATATTTACAGCAAAAAGAAAGAGAATGGTTGAACAAAAATGAAGAAAAAACAAACAAACAAACAAAAATTAACAAAAAGGAATTTGCTTAGAAGTTTAAAAAAACTAACTCTGAACTGCACTTTTGGCTATGGCCCTAAAAATGGGCCCAAGCAGGATCTGAGGTCTGGAGCTGTGTGGCTCTCTCAGTTGGACAAAATGCCCTGAGCCACCTCAGCCTTCAGGTGAGCTCACCTGCTGAAGACACAAAAATCAATGATCTTCTTCAAACAGTTCACATGGACAGCAATATTCAAATACAACACATTATCAATGATTAATACATTTAAGTCCATTAAAAATATGTTTTCTGAAAAAAAATATGTGTTTTAAAGGCCCAAACCCTTTACTGACACAAAACACCCCTCCCACTCTGCCGCACTTGGTCTCCTCCTCTGGGAACCCCTCTACTTAACCCATTGGACTGCTCCACCTCAGGTTTGCCAGCTCCTGGTCTGTGGCAGAGGAGGAGACAGGTGCGACACAGAGGACAGGTGAAACACACTTTCAGATCAACGTATTAATGTTTTCCACACAACTGCAGAATGTATGAAGTATATGTGGTGCAAGTGCCATACTTTAATACAATGTTAGATAAAATATCCAACCACACAGCAGGATGGAGGAGAGAGACCTGCTCTGTGTGTGAGCATGTGTGCTTTACTTATATCACAGTTCAGGTGAAGATGCACCTTGCTAACCAAGCTAGCCAGCTAGTGCTAGCGTTAGCTGATAACCTGTGTCAACCCGGGTTAGCCCGTGGAGGTGTTCAGTCAAAGCCCAATAAAAAGGTGAATTTAATGGACGTTAATCTAACGACGTTTGGTTTGTGTTTCTCCACATGTGACCCAGTTTAAGTGATCTGCGTTAGTTAATGCGCAGCGTTAATGTTGGTTAATACATTGTCCATCGAGACGTCGTGATAGTTCAAGTTAAGATAACGTGACGTTTACAAAATGTGTTGACAAATATTTTTCATATAGAAGATTGTTCATTTAATACTCAAACCAGTCCTCAACTGAAGCAGACATTCATGCACCTATCCTGACAGCTGATCGATATTTGTGATTAACTGTGATCCACCGCATCTTAAATCTCCAAGTCGTTTGTGTTTTATTGTCATTTGAAAGGTTTCC